GTGGCGACAACCCCCGAAGTGCCCCGAAGGTCTCACCCCCGCTCGTCATCGTCGTCAATGTCATCATCAGTATCCTTCTCCCTCATTCTGAAGAGGTCGGCAGAATGGCGTAAGCCTCTTGAAGAAAGGGGGAGAGGGGGGGAGAGAGAGAGAGAGAGAGAGAGAGAAAGAGAGAGAGAGAGAGAGAGACACACACACACACACACACACGCACGCACGCACGCACGCACGCACGCACGCACGCACGCACGCACGCACGCACGCACGCACGCACGCACGCACACACAGACAGACAGACAGACAGACAGACAGACAGACAGACAGACAGACAGACAGACAGACAGACAGACAGACAGACAGACAGACAGACAGACAGACAGACAGACAGACAGACAGACAGACAGACAGACAGACACACACACACACACAGACACACCATCACACAAACACACACACACACAAGCACACACACAATCCAGCGTTGCGAGTGGGCCTGTCGAGTCTTACTGACGCTGTGACGCTGCATGGGGGGCCGATTCTGTAGTCTTGGAGCCCCCTGGGGCCGTATCTGGCCCCTCTGGGCCGTTATGGGGTCTCGTTGGCGGTCTCTTGAAGGATCGTTGGCGCCATGCTGGAGCTCTCGTCGGCTGTCTTGAGCCCCTCGGGGGGCCCGCTTGGGGCATCTTGGGCTCTCTTGCGCCGGCCCAGGACGGCCAAGATGCCCCCAAGACTGCCCCAAGAGGGCCCCAAGACGGCCCACAAGGCCTCCAAGACGCCCAAGATGGCGTCCAAGACGGCCCTGGAGCACCCGAGGAGGGGCCCCAAATCGGCCCAGAGAGGCCCCCAAGACGGCCCAAGATGCCTCCAAAATGGCCCAAGACGGCCCAAAAAGACCCCGAAGAGGTCTCGAAGACGGCCCAAGAGGGCCCCAAGAGGGCCTCCAGGAAGGCCCGAAGAGGCCAAACTCTTTGATTTCCCTGGGGTGGTTGAAGGCCTTGGGCGTTTGCTTCTTGTCGGCCGGCCCAAGAGCCTCCAAAGATCATCGCCCCAAGATCGCCCAAGAGGCCTCCAGGATAGCCCCATAACGGCCCAAGAGGACCCCAAGACCTAAGAGGCTTCCAAGACTTCCCAGATGGATGGCCTCCAAGACGGCCCTGGAGCACCCCAAGAGGGCCCCAAATCGGCCTAGAGAGGCCCTCCAGACGGCTTCCGACGGCATCAGACGGGCCAGGAGGCCATCACGACGGTCCAAGATAGCTCGAAGATCGCCTAAGACGGCCCAGGAGGCCCCCAAGAGGCCCCCTAAGAGGTCTCCAAGACGGCCCAAGAGGCTCCCAAGAGGGCCTCCAGGAAGGCCTGAAGAGGCCAAAATGATGTTGCGTCTTTTCGGTCGTCCGACGGCCCGAGACGGCCCAAGAGCCCCCAAAGATCGCACCAAGATCGCCCAAGAGGCCTCCAAGATGGCCCCTTGAAGCCCCCAAGACGGCCCCAAGAGGGCCCCGAGACGGCCCAAGGAAGAGCACCCAAAGATCGCCCCAAGATCGCCCAAAAGCCTCCGAGATGGCCCCAGAACGGCCCAAGACGCCCCCAAGACGGCCCTAAGGCAGCCGCAAGAGGGCCCGAAGACAATCCAAAAGGCCTCGAAGACGCTCAAGGTTGCCTCCAAGACGGCCCTGGAGCACCCGAGGAGGGCCCCAAGTTGGCCCAAAGAGGCCTCTAAGACGGCTTACGACGGGGCCAGGAATGCCCTAAGACAGACCAAAAAGGCCCCCGAGAAGCCCCCCTAAAGGCCCCCGAGAGGCCCACGGAGGCCCCCCAATTGTCTCCAAGAGGCTCCCAGGAAGCTCCTAGGAGGACGCAAGAGGGCCCAGGAGGTTCCTAAGATGCCCCCTCCTCCTCCTCCTGATCTTCCCCGCCATCTTCCCCCAAGTGTCCCCCGAAGAGTTTCTACAACGGCTGGGGGAACACATGGCCCGACAGCTTGGCAGAGCTCTTGCCACAACGCTCGGCCACATGGGCGATTCCAAAAGGCAGGGGGCGGCGGTGATTCGCCGTAGGCGTCTTCGATCCGCCGCCCCTGTTGGTTTACCTCAGGGGTGCCCGGCGTGCTGAACTTCTTACGGTGTGGTTTGTTATTCCCAACCATCCTGTGGTGTTGGGTCCTCGTTTTGAAGAGACAGCGCCCCGCGTCCCACCTCCTCTCCTCCTCCTCCCCCCTCCCGCCCTCCTCCCTCCTCCCCCTCCTTGCCTCTGCTCTCGGCACACCCCACACGTTTCGTAGCCCCATAGGGAGCTCCACCGAAGGTCCCAGTGGCACAGTTCGCATGCGGTTCCCCCACCCAGGGCAGCGTTTCGTGGCCCCATAGGGAGCTCCACCGAAGGCCCCAGTGGGGGTGTTCGCATGCGGTTCCCCACCCAGGGCAGCGTTTCGTAGCCCCATAGGGAGCTCCACCGAAGGCCCCAGTGGGGGTGCCCGCATGCGGTTCCCCCACCCAGGGCAGCGTTTCGTGGCCCCATAGGGAGCTCCACCGAAGGCCCCAGTGGGGGTGTTCGCATGCGGTTCCCCCACCCAGGGCAGCGTTTCGTGGCCCCATAGGGAGCTCCACCGAAGGCCCCAGTGGGGGTGTTCGCATGCGGTTCCCCCACCCAGGGCAGCGTTTCGTAGCCCCATAGGGAGCTCCACCGAAGGCCCCAGTGGGGGTGCCCGCATGCGGTTCCCCCACCCAGGGCAGCGTTTCGTAGCCCCATAGGGAGCTCCACCGAAGGTCCCAGTGGCACAGCCCGCATGCGGTTCCCCCACCCAGGGCAGCGTTTCGTGGCCCCATAGGGAGCTCCACCGAAGGTCCCAGTGGCACAGCCCGCATGCGGTTCCCCCACCCAGGGCAGCGTTTCAGCCCCATAGGGAGCTCCACCAAAGGTTCAGTGGCACAGCCCGCATGCGGCCCGAGGGCAGCGTTTCGTGGCCCCTAGGGAGCTCCACCGGGTCCCAGTGGCACAGCCCGCATGCGGTTCCCCCACCCAGGGCAGCGTTTCGTAGCCCCATAGGGAGCTCCACCGAAGGTCCCAGTGGCACAGCCCGCATGCGGTTCCCCACCCAGGGCAGCGTTTCGTGGCCCCATAGGGAGCTCCACCGAAGGTCCCAGTGGCACAGCCCGCATGCGGTTCCCTCACCCAGGGCTGCGTTTCGTGGCCCCATGGGGAGCTCCACCGAAGGCCCCAGTGGCGCAGTTCGCATGCGCCCCCCCCCACCCAGGGCAGCGTTTCGTGGCCCCATAGGTAGCTCCCCCGAAGGTCCCAGTGGCGCAGTTCGCATGCGTCCCCCCCCACCCAGCACAGCGTTTCGTTGCTCCATAGGGAGCTCCACCGAAGGTCCCAGTGGCGCAGTTCGCATGCGTCCCCCCCACCCAGGGCAGCGTTTCGTGGCCCCATAGAGAGCTCCACCGAAGGTCCCAGTGGCGCAGTTCGCATGCGTCCCCCCCCACCCAGTACAGCGTTTCGTGGCCCCATACGGGGCTCCCCCGAATGCGATACCCACAACTGCATATGGTTGGGTCCTTCGCCAGGCTAATTTTTCAAAAGAACTCCCCCTTGGGCTTCGACCCGTCCCGCCGGCCACCTGGAAGGGCCCCCCAAAGCGGAAAGCATCTCCCTCAGACGGGGCACGATGCCCTCCAAGAGGGCTAACATGTCTGAAGATAGCCTCCAAGATGCCTCCGAGACGGCCAAGATGGCCCCAAGAGATCCCAACATGGCCCCAAGATGCACCCAAGACGGCCCAAGATGGTCTAAGACGGCCGAAAAGGCCTGCAAGAGGCCTCCAACGGCCCAAGAGGCCTCCACGGGGTCCTTCAGGAAGGCCCGAAGAGGCCAAAATTATCGAGTGTCCTAAGGTGTTTGAAGGATTTGGGCAGTTGCTTCTTGTCGGCCTTCCGACGGCCCGAGACGGCCCAAGAGCCTCCAAAGATCGCCCAAAGATCGTCCAAGAGTCTTCCAGGATAGCCCCCGAACGGCCCAAGAGGCCCCCAAGACAGCCCCAAGAGGGCCCCAAGACAGCCAAAGAGGACTCCAAGACGCCCAAGATGGCGTCCAAGACGGACCTGGAGCACCCCAAGAGGGCCCCAAGTTGGCCTAGAGAGGCCCCCAAGACGGCTTCCGACGGCGTCAAACGGGCCAGGAATGTCCTAAGACTGCCAAAGAGGCTCCCTAGAAGCCCCTCAAGGCCCCCGAGAGGCCCCCAAGAGGCCCCCAAGATGCCTCCAGGAAGCTCCCAGGAGGCCCCAAGAGTGCCCCCAGAACGGCCCGAGAGGCCCCTCCTCCTCCTCCTCCTTCTCCTCCTCCTCCTCCTCCTCCTCCTCCTCCTCCTCCTGATCTTCCCCGCCGTCCTCCCCCAAGTGTTCTCCGAATGGTTTCCACAACGGCTGGGGGAACACATGGTCCGATAGCTTGGCAGAGCTCTTGCCACGACGCCCGGCCACACAGGGGGGCGGCGGTGATTCGCCGCAGGCGTCTTCGGTGACCAGGAGGACGAGTCCAAGGGATCGAGACACATCCACGTCCGCGGCCTCTCGGTCTGGAGCCCTCGGCCGCGACCCCAGTGCACACAGGGCGGCGCTGCGCGGCTGCCCTGGGCGGGACGACCTGCACTTGGGACCGCGCCTCCCCAGACCCCCCCCCGGCGTCGTGGCTCTTGCGCAGCGTCGACCCCCAGGCCTCAGGAAGGCCTGCACCCCGAGCCGTTGTTTGCCGGTCCCGAGGCCTGGCAAGGGCCCCCTGGATCCAGGGGGTCCGTGGCGACGCGAGGCTTGTCGCTATCCTCGGCCTCGAGGCCGAGGATGGCGACGAGCCTCCCGTCGCCCCGACTTCCCAGCGCGAGGGGGTCTGGGCCCAGGGGATCGGGCCTCGGCGCCCGGGCCGCTCGTCGCTCGCGGGCCAAGGCCGAGCTCGGAGTGCACGGAGGCCGCAGGCCACGCCCGGCGGCGGCCCTTCGCCCGCCGGGGAGCCGGAGCGGAACTCGCGCATGACCAGGTCGCGCTCCTGCGGCGGCCCCGGCGTGGCCCAGAGGGGGAGGAGGAGGAGGAGGAGGAGGAGGAGGAGGAGGAGGAGGAGGAGGAGGAGGAGGAGGAGGAGGAGGAGGAGGAGGAGGAGGAGGAGGAGGAGGAGGGAGGAGGAGGAGGAGGAGGAGGAGGAGGAGGAGGAGGAGGAGGAGGAGGAGGAGGTGGAGGAGGAGGAGGAGGAGGAGGAGGAGGAAGGAGGAGGAGGGGGGGAGGAGGAGGAGGAGGAGGAGAGGAGGAGGAGAGGGAGGGAGGGAGGGAGGGGGAGGGAGGGAGGGAGCGGAGGAGTGGGTGAGGGAGAGTGAGAGAGAGGAGGAGAGGGGGGAGAGGCAAGCTAGGTGCGCTCGCGTCATATCTGACGTCATACCCCTCCCTCCCATCCCATGGCGCTGATTTTCTCTATCCGCGGACGCGTGTCGTAGCGGACTTGTCGCTCCGCGCGCGCGTGCGTAGTGGGTGGTGGTGCGCGTGCGTGCGTGCGTGCGTGTGTGCGTGTGTGGTGGTGTGGTGGTGTGGTGGTGGTGGTGGTGGTGGTGGTGGTGGTGGTGGTGGTGGTGGTGGTGGTGGTGGTGGTGGTGGTGGTGGTGGTGGTGGTGGTGGTGGTGGTGGTGGTGGTGGTGGTGGTGATGGTGGTGGTGGTGGTGGTGGTGGTGGTGGTGGTGGTGGTGGTGGTGGTGGTGGTGGTGGTGGTGGTGGTGGTGGTGGTGGTGGTGGTGCGGCGCGGTGGTGGCGGGCGGATGGGCGAGCGAGAAAGAGGCCCGCGCTGAGGCGAGAACGCCATCCTGAACGACGGAGGCCAAACACCGATCCGAGAATGAGGCCCACGCTGCAGCGGGAGCACGATTCGGAACGATTCGGGAGCAGAAATGAGGCCGGCGCCTCAGCGAGAGCATCATTTTGAAAAAAAAAACCAAACAAAAACACAAGCGAAAACCCGTTTCCCGGGAATCCTGTGTGTAGAACAAAATACGCGGGGGGGTGTCGGATATCTTCGGGACGCCATCAGGGGAAGTGGGAGAGTATTTTCATATTGTGTAATTGTGAAGAGGATGGAGGGGCCGCATGCGGACGACGACGGGGAGGAGACGGATGGAAGAGGATTTTGAGGCCGTGTCCTGAAGTTTGAGGAGGCAGATGGAAGAGGAGGAGGAGGAGGAGGAGGAGGAGGAGGAGGAGGAGGAGGAGGATTGCAGTGTAGTGCTGATGCCCTTACGGGTAGGCATAACCCAAGTGAATCGGATGGGGCACTTGGGCTCTCCCACCCTTGAATAGGTGCTCGATGTTGGCACCTGGCATATGGTGGGTGATGCGTGTAGCGCATATCCTGTGGCAGCCACCTCTGCCTCGTAGCACCGTGACCGAGGGGGTCAACTCGTGTGGGTCAGCCGTCCCATCATGAGGGGACGGCGAACGAGGAGCCCCCGCGCAGCCCGGCGCCGCGCCATGCCGCGACGCGCCGCGCTGACGCGCCGCGCCTCGGAGCTCGGAGCGCGACGCCGCGCCCCCGCCGCGCTGCGCCGCGGTGCCGGCACGAGGGGGCGGAGGCCCGGGAGGGGCCAGGTCCCGTAGGCAAGCGCATGGGAGCCCATACCCCTGCAGGCCACACCTGTGAAGCACCAGCGCGGGGTCCGAAACGTGAGGATTTCTGCGACCATGGTGGGCTTTCTTTCCACCGCCACCACCATAAGCAGGAGGGGGAGTGGGTCCTCCTCCTCCTCCTCCTCCTCCTCCTCCTCCTCCTCCTTCCCCCCTCCAACTTATGGTGGTGGTGGTGGAGAACAGGCCCATCAGACCAAGCGGACCCCAGCGGGGCTGGTTCGATACCCTGGCGTCGCAGGTATCTGCAAGCGGTCGCAGGGCCCTGCAGACCCCGAGGCTCTCCACCCTGAGTCGGAATCAGGGCCAGGGGAGGGCCCTGGCCGCCCCGAGGCCGTCGAGGAGACATCGGGTCCCGTCTCCCCCAGTACGGGGCCCAAAAATATACGCCACCACCACCTCCCTCACCCCCTCCCTCTCCCAGGAAGGAGGAGAGGAAGGAGGAGGGCAGAGGAGGGAGGAGGCATCGACGTGGTGTGGTGTGTACTCTCGGGGCCCTCACCCTGGGCCCGTCTGCCTGACGGCGTCGATGTTCGGCGCTTATGCTCTGCCTGGCTGAGACTGGAGCGAGCGAGCTAGCGCAGCTGGCGTCGGGGCACAACGCGCCCCAGAGAGAATCATCGGAAAGGGCCGCAACCTTCACACACCGTCGTCCCCAAACTGCCCTCACGCGCCAGAGCGCCGTCCCAACCCTTCCGATGCTTCGATGTACGCCTCGGAACCACAGGGGGGGAGGGAGGGGAGAGTGAGAAGAGGGGAGGATATGGGAGGGAGGAGAGGGGGAAGGCAGGGGGAGCCAGAGAAGGAGTGGGCAGGGAGGATTGAAAGGAGGAGGGGCAAGAGGGGGGGGCGAGGGCGAGGAGGGAGAGGGGGCCGCTCCTTCTGGTCCAGCTCAGCGTGCATCGTTGAGATTGTGAAGTCGCGCTTTGACAACTGGTCCGCGAGGAAGTCCACCTGATCAGGGCCCCGGGGCACCGTGCTCATGCCCTGGCTCGTCCCCTCTCTCCTCTGTGCAGATCGGACGCCCGCATCACGCGTCCACAAGATTGCTCCACGAGAGAAATTCACGGATCGTCCGACAAACGGCAGGCACGTAAGAGGATAATGCACGCCTGTGCACTCGCGCCTGTCGACCGAGAGCGTGTACGCATGTGGCCCCTTATGGCTCATCCAATCACCATTATCTCTCCGCCTGCCCCTCTCCCTCCCCTCCTCTTCCTCCTCCTCCTCATCATCAGCATCAGCATCAGCATTAGCATCATCATAATCAGCATCAGCATCAGCATCAGCATCAGCATCAGCATCAGCATCAGCATCATCATCATCATCATCAGCAGCAGCAACAGCAGCAGCAACATCAGCATCAGCATCAGCATCTGCATCAATATCCTCATCATCAGCAACAGCATCATCACCAGCATCATGACAATCAGCATCAGCATCATCATCATCATCATCATCGTCGTCATCATCATCCGCATCAAGATCAGCATCATCAGCAGCAGCATCATCGTCATGATCAGACTCGTCATCATCATCATCATCATCATCATCATCATCATCATCATCATCATCATCATCATCATCATCATCATCATCATCATCAACAGCATCATCATCGTCATCATCAGCATCAGCATCAGCATCATCAGCAGCATCGTGATCATCATAATCAGCATCAGCATCAGCATCAGCATCAGCATCAGCATCAGCATCAGCATCATCATCACCACCAGCAGCATCATTAGCATCATCATCAGCATCATCATCATCAGCATCATCATCATCAGCATCATCATCATCACAATCATCATCACCATCATCAGCATCATCATCATCATCGTCGTCATCATCAGCATCATCATCATCGTCATCAGCATCATCATCATCATCATCATCATCATCATCATCATCATCATCATCATCATCATCATCATCATCATCATCATCACGGCGGCGCCACATGATCATAGCTGGCACCCGGCCGCCGGCTGGAGGGCGACAAGCGCGACGCGAGCGGCGCCGCTTCAGCGAAGATAGCAGCGGCTCCGAACTCCAATGAATGCAGCAGGCAGCGCGCACCGCAGGGCTCACAAGCAAGGTCGCTTGCCCCTGCGACAGGGCACAGATTCGCATGCGCAGCGCTCACAACGCGCTGCCCGGTGCAGCTTTGCGCTCCAACTCGGAAGCAGCGAGTCGTTCATACTTGTTGCTGACATTACCAGCAAAGGTACACCCATACATTTTCGAGCGAGCACGGACTAGCAAAGAAAGATCAGACGGGCGGGAAACGGGAGGGTAACGGTGACAGCAGGATGACGCATCCCCCACATCGTGCCTGACCTCCTGGCCCTCGTCTCGAGAATCGTTCGGGGTACTTTTGGCTGGTCTCGGGTGCCTCCTGCAGACCTCGTGGTGCGTCCTGGGACCCCCATTTGGCCGGCTTGGGGCGTGGGGCTCTCTTAGGGATTACGTGGGGGCCCATCGAGGCTGTTTTGAAGGACTCCTGGGCTGTCTCTGGGATGCCTGGGGCTTTCTCTTGGACCGCCTTGGCGCCCTCTTGGGCCATCTTTTTTTGTTTTTTCTGTTAATCCGATCTGCCTCGCGACATCAGCTGCTTCTCACATCTCCTCCGGGTGCAGGAGGCGCACGGCTGCCCGGCAAGACCTGGGCGCTGGGCCGGGCACAGGGGAAGAAGAAGAACAAGAAACTCACGCACCGGCGCCGGACCGCCTGGCAAGACCGAGGCCCCAAGGGCAGCGCGAAAGCAAGAGCCAAGGATCCACATCCCGACGGCCTGTCGGCTCGAGATCGCGGCGACGGCCGAAGCGACCGTGCATCGACAAAACGCTGGTCACCTCGAGTCAGGGCTTCTCGGAGCCAAGGACTCCGAAGATGTCTCAGGCGTAACGGGCCTGAGCACATAACGGACTACGTCGTAATTGAATATGACGTCCGCCCGCCATGTTGTTTCTCTATGATAGCTCTGCCGCGGGGATCTTCTCTCGCTTGTTCTCAGCAGAAGGTGCCTGGGATGCAGCGGCCAGCACTGTAAATGAGCTGCTGCCTTGGGCTGCAGTTCGCTGGATACTGCTGCGTGAAAGGCGCTGCTACCCTGGGCTGCAATGCCATGCAACTAAATACCTTGCATTATTTATCCCACACGGAACTTAAACGAGAGCTGCTCATGCTTGGTTCGCGCATGAATTCTCTGTCTTGAGTCCTGAATGAACGAGCATCTAACCCAAACCCACAATTCCCAGATTTCTTGGGGCCTTCGGAGACTCCTCGAGTTTGGATTTCGTGGCAGGCCTCTCGGGGGCCTCTCGGAGACAGTTTTGGATTCGTTGTGCGACACAGCACTTGAACGACAGATGGACGCGTTTGGTTCGCGCGTGTCCATGGCTGCGAAGGTCATGCTGCACTGGCGCCAATACTGAACGAAGCCGCGCCCTGACGGCAGAGCCAAACAGATGGAAAATAGTGTTCACATGTGTGCCAGCATGCAGGGAAAAACGGAAAGTTGCCAGGGCCTCGGGGGACCGCCGTCGTAGCCTCTGTTTCCAACGAGGTGCGAAGGGCAACTGCGAAGTCTGTGGCATAAAGGAGGGGGTGGTTAAAGGTTGGGGGTGGCTGGTCAAAGGTCCACGCCCTTTTTAAATGGGGTGGCTGGTCAAAGGTCCACGCCCTTTTTAAATGGGGTGGCTGGCCCTTTTTAAATGGGGTGGCTGGTCAAAGGTCCACGCCCTCTTTAAATCGGTTTTTGTCTGGGGCTGCTCTGCAGTGTGCACGTCAACATTGAGCACGCGGGCAGACCTCGGGTGGAACGGACCCCACAAACGGAAGAGGAGTACCTGGCGAAGGCCAGCACGCCCTGAAAGAGGGGCGGCCTCACAGCACCCTTAATCCTTAGTCTGGTCAAGCAGCTCACATGCCCGCCTTGTTCTTCTTCTGCAGCGTCTGCTCGAAGAGGCACAGCACCATCCTGGCGTCGCCAAATGCGCTGAAATGCTTGTCGAGGAATGCCGTGTGGAAGCCTTCTACTGTGTGGGCGCTCTGGCAACGCATCTGTTCACACAGCAGCTGTACCGGCGCATGGCAATCAGCGTTTGCGATATTCCCAAAACTCAGCGCGACGCAGAATTCGAAAAAACACCAACAGCGCAATATGTATTGCCTGCCTTCGTCGACACAGTCGTCCATGCTGTATAAAAGCTCCATGGACGCAAGGGCGCTTTGGAAGTTCACTTCCTCCTCGATGGTGCGGACGGCAGGGTGGGTGCCAGGCTCGGGCCACTTCCCTTCGCGGTCCAGTCGTTGCAGCTCCGGATCTTGCATGTTGTGCTGAGGCAGGCCCATGTAGCCCGCGAAAACACAATCACTGTCGTCGGCACCTAATGCGTCCAACAGATTGCACAACAGCTGCAACTTCAAACCATCTGGGTCGGGGTGCAATTTCGACAGCCACGGGTGCGAAAGAACAAATCGATGCTTCGGTTCGTTCTTGGAGCGTGGGAACCCAATGCTGCCGATGATCACTTCGATATGTGGCACTTCCTGGCACCGTGGCATCACGAGACCAGCCGAACTTAGATGGCGCAAACATCCAACGCGCACCCAGATAACATGAGCGTCGTCTGAAGACTGTAAGAATTCCAAATAGAACTCGTCCATCTGATCGTCTCTGTAGGAATTAATAGCCGTGAAAGCATTCAGCGCCAGGCTCCGCATTTCTGGGGGGCCAGCGAGGCCAGCGAGCACGGTCATACTCAAGCAGTCGATCGTAGCATCCAGGCCTGAAACGACCAGTAAGGGCATGCCGAAGTCAGCGAATGCGGACATCGTCACGACCGATACCGAGGAGACTGTGCTGGCGAACCCTGCTACACCTGTTCCCATGATCCACTTAGCAGCTCGCCTCTGTGCCCTGCTGCCAGAGCGAAATCCATGCCGAGCACTGGCGAACAAGCTAAGCACGCCAGCTGTCGCAAAAATGATCGGCGGGCCCAACACTAGAGGTACTGTGATCACATTTAGCAGATGCGCGTCTGCGCTACTGACCCCAAGGACCTCTGGAATGAAGACCACCAAGGCACCGAAGGGTACACCAGGGAGAGATACCATGGCGATGAATCTGATGGCTCGCGCGATCCTCACCCGTTCCAGATCGATCAATTTGAGAGCGAGAATCAGCCAGTTGATGTACTTGCACGCCATAAAAAATGCCAAGAACATATGCACTGGCTGCGCCAATAGCTTTGAGTGGCACGCATAGATCCTAGGAAAGGTCAACGCAACAAAAAAACATACCGCTGTGACCACGAACGTGATTGCAAATCTGTGCAGGGGAAGGTCTCTCCGGAAGCGTGTGCGGTAGCCCACGCTAAAAGCCGAAAGGATGGCGCAGGGCGTTACAAGCGCTACGCACTCCAATGTGCGAAGGTACCACTCGTCGTGCGACTCCTGGTCGTTCACGCACGTGTATGCGCTGGCGCTGATGCTGCCAGCGGCAAGTGCGCAGGTAGCAATGCAGACTGACATCGACAGCAGCGCCCGCAAAAAGTCCGTGGAATCCGTCCCCGGGAGTTGACCCCTCCCGCTTGTTCACTGGAAGGAGGTCCATCGGCCAAGCCCTGCAGGCTGCCCACAACCACCGCGCGGGGCTCGGGCGGCTGCGGCGCCTCGCCTCCAGCGGGGCGGGTGCCGCGCCCTGGGCTCATGACGCCGCAGGCGCGGGAGAGAAGTGAGCGGAAGGGTTCAAACCCAGAAGCGGCGCCGCCTTGAGCCGAAGGGGCTTGAGCCAAAATGGCTACGGACGCCCTCTTGGGCCATCTTGGAGTCCTCTGGGCAGTCGGGTCGTCTTGGGACAGTCTTGGGCCTCTCTTGGGCCGCTTAGGGGCCATTGTGGGCCGTCTTGGGCCTCGCCAAGGCCCTCTGGGCCACTTGGGCCGTCTTGGGCCCCTCTTGGGCCGGCTTGGACTCCTGTTGGGGCCCTCATCGGCCCTTCTGGGCTTTCTAGGGGCGATCTTGGGGGCCTCTTGTGCTATTCTGGGCAAGTTGGCCTCTTTGGACCTCTCAGAAGTTGTCGTCGGGTTTTAGGGTCTCGTCTTGGGCACCTCTTGTCAGCCGTTTGGCTGCGTTCGAGTCTGTTGTTGGGCCCTCTCGGGGGCCTCTTGTCGCTTACTCGTGCCCTCTTCGGACTCCCTGGTACCCCCCATGGTGCAACAGGAGATGTTTTGAAAGGCTATGGAAGGGCCCTTGAGGCCCCAGACCCAAATTGGAGTTCGCGCTCCTGGTTTAGGCACCCGGTTGTTCGCCCAGATTCCAGATAAGCATATCCCCCACACCCCCCTTAGCGGACATGCACGGCAAACCAGCTTGAGCATGCTTGAGTCCGAGCTCTCAACACATCCTCCTCCACCTCATCCGCCTCCTCCTCTTCCTCCTCCTCCTCCTCCTCCTCCTCCATCCTTCGCCGAGTATACCTCAACAGCGAAGCTGATAGGGGGCAAGGGTCGGCCGAGGTCTCGACGCCAGTACGGAGTGCGATCCCTGCGACTGAAGTGGAGGGACAGCAGGCAGGTGGACTCCTGCTTCGCCTCATCAGCCTTGACGCCACCAGCGTCATCGCCTTATTGCATGGCTTTGCTTCGCCCGATGAGCCTCTCAGATGGGAGCGTTCCTGTCAGGGAGATCGGGGGGAGAATTCAAAGCTAGATGATGGTGGTTGAGCAGAGTTGATTTTGCTAGGAGGAGAGGGGCACTCTGTTGTGTCCGCATTGTCAGCAGCCTCAAAATCCTCTTCCATCCACCCCCTCCCCGTCGTCGTCCGCATGCGGCCCCTCCATCCTATTCCCTGTCTCCCCTCTCCCTCTCCCTCTTCATCCACTCCTCCGTTCCCTCCCTCCTTCTCCTCCTCCTCCTCCTCCTCCTTCTTGTTTCCACCCGTTCCCCCGAGCGATGTTCTATCAGGGCACGGCTCTGCTTCTTGCTCAAGAATGCGCGGCTGCCTTCATGGAATGGCTGCCAGGCAGTGCGAAACGACGCCAGACACGAGCATGCGGAAGCAAGGGGGAGGACACAATATGACAAATCGTGACCCCCTCCCTCCCCGGTCGCCCGCGTCCTGATCTGGCGTCGCATCCTTCCCCGGGTCCGGCTCTCCATCCTGGAACGGCTCTGGCTGGTCCTGTAGAGGCCCCGAAGCGGACCCCCGAGCGGAAGATGCGGAGAGGCCTCCGGCGCCGTGCCCCTCGGACACCCACGGGTCGCCGGGCCTTCGGCCTCTCAGAGCGGCCCCCCCCCGACCTCGCCGGCAGCGCACGCCGACCAGGGCTTCGAGGCGGGCCCAGCCGTGGCCACGCGGGCACCCCCGGAGGCCCGAGGACGGGCCGAGAGAGCGCCCAGGAGCGCACCGGAGGCGCAAGGAGAGGGCCCAGGAGCGCCCAGGAGCCTCCGATCCTCGAGCCTCGATCCTGGACCCCGTGCGAGCGCCGAGGTCTGGGCGAGGCCTCCCGAGGCCCCTGGAAGTCTCTGGGGGCCCCGGGGGGTCCCAACGGCGGTCAGGAACGCCCAGCAACCTGCAGGCGAGCCTGGACCCTCGAGCCTCGAGCCTCGAGCCTCTCTTGAAAGCCTCGACCGTCGCATCGGGGGCGGCCAAGAGGGGGGCGTCCAAGAGGGGAGGGTGCAACTCATGGCCGGCGGCATGTGCGCGGCCCAAGGGGGGGCCAGGGACGTAATGAACTAAAAAAAGGCGCCACGAAATCTGGGCAGATAGAATGGCCCCCACCATGGCATCCACCCCCCTCTTGGCCGCCCCCGATTGAACCTCGATCAGGGCGGGAGTGACGTCATGATAGCACTGGCTCGAGGTATACGTCCCAGGACTCCCGGAGAACCTGGCGGCCCCCTCGTCTCTGCAGCCCGTGCGGAGCACACTCACAGGTCCCAGAGGCCCTGGGAGTCCTGGGACGTACCACTATCACGACTTCCTGCTCCTCTGCTCAGTCTTCGAGAAATGTTGTTCTCATCGTACTTAAGGACCCAATCCCAGAAACAAATCGAGCACCCAGGTAAGTGTCAACACAGTGTCGAAACAGTGTCGAAAGAGTGTCTCCCAGGGCCCCTACGCGTGAAAACCCTCCAGGTTCGGTACTTTCTTGGTGCTCGAAATTCTTTCTGGTGATCAAGGATGAAGTAGGTTGAAACATCATACTCCAGATCCCTTATAAATCGCCCCCCCTAAACAAATGCCCCCCTCCAAATGCAACCTAATATTCTGGACCCCCCTCTTCGACGGGGTGCCTTGATAAACCGGACCCCCTAAGCTCCGATCCAAACAAAAACGCCGTGATAAACCGGCAGTAAAAAAAACGCCTGAAACAACCGGACCCGGGGGACGATTAATAATGGATTTGGAATGCAGTCGGGGCGTTGACCAAAGGGACCCTAAATTAGAAACGAGGACCCTTTTTTCACCTAAATTAAACTTCGATTCCCCATGGGAAACCTAAGGGAAACTGAAAAACAACCGAGGAACACCGAGCCCCTCCCCAACGAAAAGGGTTCCTTGTTCATCGCCCACTGCTGTAGTCCTCTAGCCTCCTCCGGTGCCCGCGCCCAGCGCGCCTTGCGGCGAGTGTTGCAGTAGATGATCGCCTGGGCGCGCGTCGGGCGGCGGAGGGCGCGGCTGCGGGCCCCTCCCTGGGGGCATGCCTGCCGAGACCACCCCCAGCCCAACCCGAAGACCCAACGTTCGGCTTCGGGGAGGGTGCGGGCTCCAGGTGAGCTTCTTCTTTTTCCTTCGAGAGCGGTTCTTTATGTTCGGCGATGACGGGCGTCATTTGGGGGGGGGGGGCGGGGAGGGAGGTACGACGTAACGCCCCCCTACCCCCCGCTTTATGTTCGGCGATGACGGGCGTCATGGGCGGGGGGGCGGGGGGGGGTATGACGTAACGCCCCCCCCCCGCCGTGTGGCGCGCACGACGTGACGAGCGACAAACGACGACGACGACGACGACGACGACGACGACGACGACGACGACGACAACGACAACGCGAGCAGCATGTAGGTGGCGATCTGCCCCCCTGCGCCCGTGTACACCACAACGCTCGCGTGCACCACAGCGCCCGTGTACACCACAGCGCCTGCGTACATCGCAACAACCGTGTGCAACGCAGCGCCTGTGTGCACTGCACTGCTCGCGTACACTACAGCGCCGGTGTACATGTGCACACCGGAAGCAACCATGTGCAACACAGCGCCTGTGTACACCACAATGCTTGCGTGCGCCGCGGCGCCTGTGCACGCCACAGCGCCTGTCTACACCACAGCATCCGCGTGCAACGCAGCGCTATTGTACACCACAGGGCCTGCGTGCATAGGACAAATAGAATGAGCCTGTACGTGAGGATTTGCTGCGGAAGCGCCACGCCAGGAAAGTGCGGATAATCGAATGCGACGCTTTTCCCTCTTCCCTTCTCCTCCACTTCCACCTCATCCTCCTCCTATCCCTCTTGTTTCTCTTCCTCCTCCTCCTCCTCCTCCACCACCTCCTCCTCCTCCTCCTCCTCCTCCTCCTCCTCCTCCTCACTCCCTGTCGTGCGGGTTGGCGCTACAGCGCACGTGCCCAACTCAGCGTGCACCGCAGAATGGTTTATTGAATCGGCCCACTTGGCTCTCGGACGGCCAATTTAGCTGGAGCCCCCTGGACGCAGATGGGAGAACTTACGGTGATGCGGGCGAACTCGGAAGGATTCGTAGATTCCCCTGGCGCTCCATTGTCCATAAGGATCAGTTTCTGGTGTCCTCGGTGGAATCCACAAACGCCCCAATTTGTCATAATGATTCCTTCTAACATTCTACATACAACAGTGGTGCTGTGTTGCACACGGTTGCTGTGGTGCACAAACGCGCCGTGGTGCACACAGGCACTGCAATGCACGCAAGCATTGTGGTGTACATTGCTGTGTTGCACACGGCTGATGTTGTGTACGCAGGCGTTGTGGTGGACACAAGAGCTGTTGTGCCCGCGCGCGCGGTGGCACAAACTGACGCTGTGTTGCACGCGGTTGCTGTGGTGTACATAGGCGGTGTGGTGTACACAGGCGCTGTGGTGCACGCAGGCACTGAGGTGTACACAGGCGTTGTGGTGCAGATCGCCATCTACATGCTGGTGCCACCCGTCCTCCGTCATGTCTAAGCATTCCCAGGCGCCGCCGTGCGAAACGTGACGTCATCGACCCCCTCCACCCCCCCAAATGATTGCCGTCATCGGCCCGGAATATTAAACAAATACAAGAAAAAAACGGAAAAAAAAGGATCCAGCCGCGTCCGCGCGCACGACGACGATGAGCGACGAGCAACGAGCCACGAGCCACGAGCCACGAGCGACGACGACGACGACGACGACGTCGACGACGACGACGACGACGACGACTGCGGACCAGACTCCTATGCGGATTCCTACGAGGACACCTACACGGATCCCAATACGCACGGCGGCAGCGCCCGGAGCGCACTGGGGGGGGGAGCGGTTCGTCACCAGGGGGGGGGGCCGTGACGCCCGTCATGCCCCAAGCGATAAAGAAATGGTCTCTTCTTCTTCGTGAAGAAGAAGCAGAAGAAGAAGAATAATAACAAGAAGAAGAAGAAGAAGAAGCAGAAGAAGAAACTCCATCAGCATAAACTCTTGGCGCTCTGCGCGGACGTCGTGGATCTGCGCCGGACCCCCTCCCTGGCGCGCGGAGCGCGCAAGGCGGAGCGCGCCAGGGGCGGCGCTGGAGGCGCCGCCAGGGGGGGCCCCGCGCGGATCCAAGAAACCTGCGCGGAGCGCCAAAAGTTTATGCTTGTG